TGGAATTCTTTTGAAATATAATTGAAGACACGAGTGGATGAAGGTGCATGTAACATTTTTCTAAAAACGGTTTTTTTTTGTATGGATGAAGGTATTATGTACCTGTTTATCACGTGGCCACATTAGAATTCTAAGATTCGTAACAGAAGTCTAGGTTTTTTAAAGGATGAAGGAGTTATGTTACATTATTTTCCAGTGAATAATGGAAGAAGTGTTATAGACACAAAATACCTTCATCCACATTCATGTAATATTTTGTATACCTTCGTCATATGAATGATGTGTTAAGTGACACACATAACCCCTTCATCCACTCACTGGTCATTTTGTTTTACTTGGTGAGTTGGTATTGCGCGCACGTGTTCTGTGTCATTATTACAGTTTTTTGCAGTAATATCATAATATTAATGCTAGTTAACATTTATAATGAGTTCCAGAGGTAAACAAATGTTAAAACTAGTGCAGGAACAAATAAACTGTGAACAAAATTTGCCAAATGATGAAAATGAATTCACAGCAAGTTCTAACCTCAACATTGAAATTTCAAATGTAACAGGTAAGTGCAATCCTGTTGTTATGAAATAATTAAGTTTTATTATATTTTGGGCAATAGGTATTTAGATCATAATATTTATATAAAAGTGTAAATGAGCTGGTTGAAATACATAACCCAACTATCATCTGTTATAAATATTTACACTTGATTGCTCCGGGGATTCCCCTATCTTTTCAAAAGTAATTTTTAAACAATAATAATTAGGAAGAATTAAAATATAAGTATAAGTAAATAGCTGTTTTTATTTTCAGATTTGGAGGGGACCCAACCATTCTTGTCAGACAGCAGTGGTGATGCTGAATACTTTCCGAGTAATGAACGAAGCAGTTCTTCAGGAACTAGTGTCACGGAGGACGAAGAAAGAGCGGACCACAGTCATGTAAAAAACCTTGTTGGAGGTACATTCATTTCTGGAGACAAAGAAGGAAGCGGGATTATTCAAAAGCCTATAATTAATCCTTCTAACGGGTCTAACGAGGTTGACCAAGAAAATGAAAAACAAAGAAAGCAAAAGATTTTTTCAACGACAGCAAAAGTTTCCAAAAAACGAAAACGAGATCCAAATACGTGGAAGAAACGCAAAGCAGCTTTAGATAGAGCAAAAGGTGAAGAATATTTGTCTTACAAAAACATTCCCGTTCCAAGAAAGGAGCCAGAAAAAGGTATTCTTTGTAGACAAGGCTGTAGATTTTCTTGTAGCACTAAATTTTCAGCAGATGACAGGAAGGCATTTTTGGATGAATTTCATAGACTTGATATTAATGCAAAAAATGCTTTACTATTTAAATCAATCATTAAAAAACCAGTGTTGAGGGAAAGAAAAGATGCTGTTAAACATAAAACTGCGTCATATACGTATAACGTTACAAAAAATGGAATTACCGTAAAGGTGTGCAAAGAAGCGTTATGCGCTCTATACCAAATAGGCAGAAAAAAACTTGATGTTATAAAGAATCGTATAAATAGTGGTGTAGCAGCACCTCCTCCAGATCGCAGAGGTAAGCACTCCAATAGTCCACACAAATAGGCCAAGATGTTAGGGATTTTGTGATAGAGCACATAAATAAATTTCCTGTAGAAGAGTCGCACTATTCCAGAAATAGAAATCCTCATAAAAAATATCTTTCTCCCCTACTAAATGTGAGCAAAATGTATGAGTTCTATCTTGAGGAATGTAATCTGGCACAACTTCCTGGAAAATTTAGAATTAAAAAATGTTCATATTCCAACATTTTTTCGCGAGAGTTTAATTTATCATTTGGGTATCCGAAAAGTGATACGTGTAGTATCTGTGATGGAGGTGAATCTAACGATGGACATAAAGAAAACTACACAGCATCAACTAAAGCGCTCAAAGTTGACAAGAAAAAAGCAAAAGATTCAGACAACTTGGTCTACATTACAATCGATATGCAACAAACAATGCCACTGCCAAAAATAACAACGTCCAAAGCATTTTACCTTAGGCAAATGTGGTTTTATAATTTTGGGGTGCATATTACTACAAAAGGCCTAGACAAAGCATGTTTTTGTACCTGGACCGAAGATCTTGCAAACAGAGGAAGTGCAGAAATATGCAGTTCTCTACTCAGATATATTGAAGTCGACGAAAGCATCACCAAAAAGGATTATCTGATCATCTGGTCCGATTCATGTGCGGGCCAGAACAAGAACTTCCACATGATTTGCCTTTATCAGTATCTTATTTTGAAGGGATACTTCCGTTGTATTGACCACAAGTTTCCTGAGGTTGGCCATACTTACTTAGATTGTGACAGAGACTTCGGAAGAATAGAGGAAGGTTTTACGAAAACACGACACGGTATATGTACCAGATACGTACCGGGAAATAATTTCAAAGGCTAGCCGAAAAAATCAAGTCATCGACATGGCTCAACACTTTAGAAGGATTGCTGATCTACCGCAAAAACTTAATCTTACTAACAGAAAAAAGGACGAACTAAATGAAACAGTCAGATTTAGAGACGGTATTAAATGGATAAGAGTGGAAGAGTATGGTTCCTATTTGTATAAAGAATCATATGACGAAACAGTTCCTTTTAGAAAAGTAAATATTCTTCAAAATAAGAATAGAACAGCAGCGCCAGAGAATATTGAAATCGAAAGAATTCGGAGAGAAATATGGAACTATCTCTGAAGAAAAAAGAAAAAATCTCCAAGAACAGCTTAAGTTTGTAAAACCAGAATATCGATATTTCTATGAACCAATCTTAGAAAAAAAATAATGTATTACGTTATATTACTGTTATTACCTTATATTAAGCAATAACATCTTGTTAGCTGATTAGATAAGTTTTTCTTTAATACATGATTCTTCCATAAAACAGTAGTTGTTTTAATTTCTTTAGAATTATACAGTGGATGAAGGTGTTATGTACTGTTTTTTTTCAAATTTTGGTAAGACACATTTTTTTTGTTGATATTTTTTTCCGTGAATAACATATTCCATATACTAGTAACGACATAGAAAAGTTTTTTACCTAATAAAAGTGAATGTGAGAAAAGTTTACAATGAAAAACTTTAACCTTAATTTTCTCAAAATCTAAATTTTGTAACATAGCACCTTCATCCACTCGTGTCTTTAATTGTTAATACGAACTTGCTGTGTACGTCCCATCAGAAAACTTTTAATCCAATTAACAATGGGGTTAATTAAGTTCAGGTTGTACATTAGCACTTGTTTCTGGTACAGTGATTTGTGTCAGGGCTTGAGCAGGTTCATATATTGATTCTAGTATAGTGATGTTGGTTGTACAACCGTCTCTTACAGCATTTTGTTACGCAGCAATAAAGTCTATATCACTAAACACATTTTTATTTAAAGGCTATAATCCAGTGACCTTAAAACCTTTAGCTGCAATCTCGCCTGTTTTTAATTTCAAATAGAATTTTTCAAACAGCTCCACAATATCATATGCAGATAGAGGGCTGTTATTATTTCTAATCCACATGCGTATTTCTTCACTGTAGTATGTTTTGAACGGCCCCATAAAAGTCTTGTCTAACGGCTGCATTTTGTGAGTCGTATGTGGAGGTAAAGAAACAATGTCCACGTTTTTTTCCCCAGTGATGTCTATTATATCGATACTACGAGTGTGACTATAATGTCCATTTAGAATCAGTAAAACCTTCGATTCAGGAGTCGGGTTGGCGTGTTTTGAATAAAGTGCTTAAACCACTCTGTGAATATATATTTATTTGAATCCACCCTAATGGATGTGCAACTCCAACTGATTCTGGCGGACAGCCTTTCATTAGCTGAGCACTCATACTTTTTTCTGGAAAAAACAATTAACGGCAGCACAAAACGAACTGTAGCATTCATGCAAACAACTATTATCATAAGGGATCCTCTTTCTGCTGAAGTAAGTGCAGCTATCTGGCATTTCCAAAATATAATAGATAAGATACAAAACAATAATGTTGAAAATGTGTCATTTTTAGCATTCTAGAGTGATTCTAGACGGTAATAGTACCTTAATATCTGCGTACTTCAAACTGAACTGCATATAATATTATTCTTAATAATTGAATTGTCACAACATAATAATTATTATGATTTTTAAATTTTCTGAGTTCATTCTGTTTAGTTGTGCCATCTTGAGGAGATTACGTAAAACATAATTCTATTTAACAGTGTTCTAATTGCTATTACATTCTTTGCACAAATAGATTCGTTTATTAAGTTAATATTTTTTACATAGATGGCGCTGTATCTCAAAGTTTTCGAAAAGGAAAAATTATTAATTTTCTTCTATAAGAGCTTCACATTTACAAAATTTACTTAAAACGTTTTAATAAATATATACATACATAATTCCACGCTTGGTTTAACCAGATCTACGTCTTGTTAAATTTGGATTATCAACGTACAGACTTATCACTTATCTGAAAAGTCGTATCTATAATTTCCTAGTATAGATTAAAATTTCGAAATTAATTTATTAAAGTTGTTTACATATATATTTTAATTTATATTTTAAGAAATATACGTTTTCTAATCACTTATGTTCGGTTTCTCTCAGTTAAGAGACTTTTCTAAAAAAAAACAGTTACTGATCCATCATTTGTGTATTATGTATTATACCACAGCTGTAATTTTCCTATTGTACTGTGAAAATTTCTTTCAAACATATGATTTTGAACAGATATGATTAAAATGTCTTTTTATTCTACAAATATGCATATTAGAGTATGAAAAAATTTAATACAATAAATTCATAAGTAAATGAAAATTCAGTCGGAACATTTTTAAAGAAAATTTCTGTCACAATTTTTTGGAAATCCTAGGCCTTTACAAGGACCCCACCGTTGCTACAACTGTATTTCCAACCAATCACAATCTATAGTATTTCCACCAATGAGAAGCCACAATTCCAAGAGGTAATTACCAATGAAATCACTTGACCAGGCGTTAGCGTTACTTCACTTTGACTTTCACACTGAGGTTGTAGGTATTGATAAATTTGTGAACGTTTTTGTTTAAGAAAAGGTAAGTAAAATCAAAAATATATATTTCAAACTATGTAGAAACTTATATTTAGGTAGTGTACTATAATTTAAAAAAAGTTTTACATCGTGGAATTAGAAAATAAGGGATATTTTTGGGAAACTCGGCCAGGGATTTTGTTGTGTAGGCTATATTTAGCCGCCATGTTGATGCCTGTTGGGGTCATATGTTTAGAGAAAATTTGATGGTAGAAATCAAAGTTTATAAAATCAATTGTAAAGTTGGATCTGAAATATTCGATGTTACTGTGTCCAATAGTATTTTGAGGCTTAATAGAAAAAAAATCATTAGATGTTATCGAATTGGCGCCAATTTGTAATATCCATAATTGTTTTGGCGGTATAAAAACAGGATTTCTGCCGATTACACAAAAAGTAATACAACGAACTTCGTTTTATTTTATATTAATAGTAATTTCTAGGAAATACATCACGTATTAAATGCAAATTCTTACACCTGGAAATAATTATAATTAAATAAAGTTTTATTAAAATCATTTTTTATATAAGCTGCTATAGTTTCTAATTTATGTTTTATTAATGTGCATAATTCACAATTTCTAAAATTTATATTCATCGTTAATCTATATTTTAAGTGTTTGAATTAAAGATATTAATAGTTGTTTGATAATGTGTTTCCATTGTTTTTTTTTAGTTATTTTCATAAGCCATGGCTCGTACGAAGCAGACCGCGCGTAAATCAACAGGAGGAAAAGCTCCCCGAAAACAGCTTGCCACCAAAGCTGCAAGAAAGTCAGCACCCTCAACTGGAGGTGTGAAGAAGCCACATCGTTACCGTCCTGGTACAGTAGCTCTGAGAGAAATCAGAAGATACCAAAAATCTACTGAGTTGTTGATCAGAAAGTTGCCTTTCCAACGATTAGTAAGAGAAATTGCCCAGGACTTCAAAACTGATCTCCGCTTCCAGTCTGCTGCTATTGGTGCTTTACAGGTAATATAGCTATGTACATTTTTTGATAACTGTTTAATATTTCACAATATTACACAGTATTTCTCATGACATCATTGTTTTCTTTGTGTAGACCTTCCTAATTACTCTCTTTTTGGATTGCTAACTACCATGTTTTTTTGGATTATCTGGACTGTTGGTATTGTGTATCTCCCCTCTATTAACATAAGTTAATTTAATCTATATTCCCTTGGAGACTTTCTTTTCTTCTAAAGAATAAGGTTGGAAAGAAGGACAAATAGCAATCTAAGTAATAATGAGAATCTTGTATGTCAATACCAGCAGTCTTTTTAAAAGACTCATGTCAAGTATATAATTCTTTCAATTACATCAATGTTGTTTGTGGTAGGCCTTTGATGAATAGTCAGTGATTGTTCAAAACTTTTACCCATTTTGTATAAACATTGATTTTAATCAATTTTCTTTTTATTTCAGGAAGCCAGCGAAGCCTACTTAGTAGGTCTTTTTGAAGACACAAACTTATGCGCCATTCACGCAAAGAGGGTAACCATTATGCCCAAAGATATTCAGTTGGCTCGCCGAATCAGAGGAGAAAGAGCTTAAATTCTTTTTCTCTTCCTTCAAGCAACTTGGTTGCTTCATATTCATTGTAGATTTTTTCAGTTCTTTCATACATTGATTACTAAATATATATTCCAGCTGGGTGTGTCAAGTGAAAAACTTATTTATGTTTCCTTGTCGTTTCATGTTGAGACAGAGCATGGTTTTATATAAAAGATATCAATTCCACTTTTTCTGTTTGCGTAGGGTTTTCATTTTCATTTAATGAATAAAAATGTGTTCATGTTTGACATTTTTTTACTTAATACTACTTTCTTTTATTACAATATGACTATCAGAATAGATTAAGTTTTTTAGTATTACGTTATTTTAAGTGTTAGGTATAGTTTTTTTAAATAGCAATTGTAACCTGATTTAGAATAAATTTATGTGGATTTATAATGTTTTCTTTATTCCTAATCAAATATATTGGGAAAGAATGCATAGTTGCTAAAAATTGGTTTAACTGAATACAAAGAAGTCTGTATGTTACAGAGTGGTGGACACCACTTACTGTGAGATAATAATACTGCATAGTCTCCTAAATTAAAGAAACCCATTTGTTATATTCTTGGAAGAAAATGTTGCATGTTTATATATTAAACTATGGCATTATTTCAATAAATTTAAACAGTTTGTAACTTGTTTTTACATTTTAAAATCCATTAAAACGCAAGATGTAACAATTATAATGGGAGACTTTAATGCAAAGGTTGGGAACGAAGAAGTAGAAGAATGTACGGAGGATATGGTCTGGGCAACAGAAACAAAAGGGGTGACAAGCTTATCGAATTTGGCCAAAACAATTTTGTTCTATACTAAAACATTTTTTAATTGAAGGTGATTACTTTGCAACATCGCACTTAACTAAGCCCTTAACGATAACATTTCAACGAAATCATATTTCACTTATCAATTTTGCAGAGGCGTACCAAAAAAATTTAATTATTTATTTAAACACATAAGTAATTAATTCAATCTAAGACCGATATAGTTATTTAATTATCATGTGTCTTTTAACAGGTATCTTATTTGCTCCGTGCGTAACCATGGTAGGGGTACCTTGAAACAATGCCAGCGTGCGTATTTACGCATAAATTTTATCAAAAATGGGTGCAAATACATGTTGCGTATTTATTTGTGCAAATAATAGCAAAAATAGTAAGTAGTTTTTATAGGTTTGCAAAATCTTGATTTGTCAGTACTAGATTTTTCCCTTTCTTTTCCGTTTGGGGTTGCAAAGATAAATTATGATGAATTTTTAGAAACCCAGTTTTAAATACCACATTTATTTTGTACATAAACTGAAAAATATAATAAAAAAACTAATTATTCATAATTGTCAATTTCTTATATATTTAACATATTTTTAACCTCAAATTCCAAAACTCTCAGACGAAGGCAATAGGTCAGTCACGCATTTATAGAATTGCTGTCTGCTATGAACGTTATATTTGTTTTGTTTTAACTCGAATTGAATTGATTTAACTATTTGTTTAAATACATAAGTAATTACATAAAAATTAAATTTAAGACCGATATAATCATTAAATTATCATGTGTCTTTCGACTGGTATCTTATAGTTGTCTCACAAATTAAAGTAAAATTTTAATCTTATTAGAGAGTACCTAATATAGAACTTCAAAAAACAGAAAACTTTGAAAAATACTTATTTTTTCGTAACAATAAAACACTGAAAACTTTGTTTTCAAACTTCCACAAAATTTATTTTAACTATTATCACTACAGCTGTTTCGGCTGATTGCCTTTCTCAAGTGATCTATTTTTGGCATGTGTTTACAATTTTATAGTCTCTAATGAAATAGGTTGAGGAGGGGAGAACTGTTTGTCTCAAGTTGATCATTCAGAATTATATCTGTATTTTTTAATTGGTTGATTTCCATAGATTCTAACAAAGATAGCTTAAGGCCTTTATTTTGAATGTGAAGAATTTTAAATTCATTAAAAGAATGATTATGATCTAGAAGGTGAAGTGCGTATGTCGAATCTGTTTTTCTATTATTGAAAGCCCTTTTATGTTCTGCTATTCGTTTATTAAAGTTTCTACCAGTTTGACCGATGTAAGTTTTTGGGCAGTCGCCACATTGAAGTTTGTACACAGCACTATTTAAGTGTTTTTTATTTTGGCTCTTGTTATTCAAACTTCAATGTTCAAACTTCAAACTTCTTGTTGTACAAACTTTAATGTGGCGACTGCCCAATATGCCCAATGTGGCGACTGCTCGAAATATGAAATAAAGATGGCACTAACTACTAAAGAGTTAATAGCTTTGTTAGAAGAATACTCAGATTGTGAAAATGCTGACTCACTTAAAGTGTTTCATTTGCCGCCGAGATTAGATAAGAATGTGTCTTATGTAAAAGACATTGATGATAATATTATTTGTGAAGAATCAATAAAATCGGATATAGCAAGTACATATGAAATACAAGTGATTGGTAATTCTGATTATGATATTCCTCTGAACCACAGATAAAACGTCCAAAGAAAAAACCGGTCAAAAATAGTAGATCCAAATTTGTACTTAAGTTGTAACAACAGATACTTCTTCGTACTGCTTTGTGCTCAGTAGTAATTCAACATCAGTCTGATTGATATTTAGACAATATAAAAGCCAACAATGGAGTCAAGTCATATATTTTAAAGTTTTTTCACTCTTTTTTGATAAAAAGCATTCTATATTTAGATAGCATTTCTATCCTGTACATAGAAGCATTTGATAAAGAACATTGAGAGCATTCTATACTTTTGAAGAACCGTCACGATTTTGAAATAAATAACATAGATTCGTATATTATCTGATTCACACTCTGCTTCAAGTTGATATACATTGGTCAAAAGATGAAGATAAAGAAGTGCACAGTATATGAGAAAGCATTTATAATAGGGAAGAATCGCTACATCAATGTCAAGCTTCGTACATGTACCTCAATCTAAATTTGCTTTACCAGATTTGACAATTGGCCACATTACAAAAAGAGACGATGGTGCAAGAATGTAGGATATGCAAAAGTACTACTATTTATTTATCTAAAAGGTGTAGAATGCATCTACACCCCGAAGGTTTCGAACATTTTCACCTTACAATTTAATTTACATTTAAGATGCAATATGTTCCTGTATTAAAAATTGTACAGTTTTCCTTGAAAATGAGAAAAAAAATCTTTTTTGTTGTAAATTGCAATCCTTTTTTAATATATGTGTTTTTATTCCAACCTAATAAATTAATTGACAAATTTCTCTTTGTATACTGATCGGCCGTTAACGGGTTAATACTATATAAAGAATAAATTTGCCGCAACTTTACTTACCTCAAAACTATTTTAAAGTTAATAATAAAGTCTATTTAATAAATATATTCCCACGAAATAGAAAACGCTACGCCTATGCACATTAGAATTTGGAACGAATAAACATAAACTAAAATATCATATTTCACTCATTAACATTCTTTCTAAGAACGTAAATATATATAGACCAGCAAAATATTGATATGTTTGCGGATGTTTTAAACTATTCAATAAACTTGTCTCACTACACACTCGTGAACCGCACCAATTTATATTGTTACGGGGGAAAATGTTATGAGGACTATATTACTTTTTCGCTTATTTACATGGGCGAAGTATACGCAATAAAAATGACCCCTGTAAGAATTTACTACTGACATTTTACACGGTTGCCGCTACCGTTTAGTTCAATTTGTAGATTAGTCATCTTTAATTGAAATCTGTCCGACTATAGCTAATACATTGTTCAAAATGTCAAAGAAAAGACTATATGCCTGGAAGTCACCAGCAGATCAAGAAAATTAGACTCAAAATGAAATGCAAAAATTGATACAAGTAAATTAAGGAACCCACTCATAAAGCAACGCCTGAGAGATTAAATCAACAACAAATTAATGAATGTTAAAGAACAAATTCTGCAAAATACTGAGACAGAAAAATGGTTATTAATAAAAACAGGATAAAAGTCAAAAAGAAATTCTAATACCAACCAGATATAAAAATAAACAATGGATGACAGAAGAAATTTTAGATTTAATGGAAGAAAGACGTCAATATAAGAACAAAGATAATCAGATGTACAAAAAAGTGGATAAACAAATAAAATACAGAATTAAGAAAGCAAAAGAACAATGCACAGAAATAGAAGAATACCAGAAAAGACATGAAAGTTTTAACAAACAAAAAAATTTAAGGAGTTAACAATAGAACAAGAAAATTGGGAATACAGAGAGATGCAAATGAGAAACTTGTGTTGAATACTAACCACAAATTAAAGAGATGGACAGAACAGAATACATCAATGAACTGTTCAAAGACAATAGAACAACATGATGGAGATAGAAGAGGATATGGTTTTAAAGATTTTAAAAAGAGCAAAAATGGTAAAGCATTAGGTTCAGACCAAATCCCTATAGAAATCTTAAAATGCATGAATAATGAAACCTTAGACATTATAGTAGACTTATTTAACTCGGTATATAAAACAGGACACATACCGAAACAATGATTACTCTCCACCTTTTGTGCTATCCCTAAAAATACAAACGCTAAATATTGCAGTGAATACAGAACAATATCACTAATAAGTCACATTCTCAAATTATTCCTGAAAATAATACATGGTCGTATAAATAAAAAACTGGAAGAAGTAATAGATGATAGTCAGTTTGGGTTCAGAAACGGACTAGGAACCAGAGAAGCGTTATTTCCTTTTAATGTCTTAGCTCAAAAATGCATGGATATGAATGTTAATGTGCATGTTTGTTACATTGATTTTGACAAAGTAAGACATGAAAAATTAGTCCGGAGACAAAAAACAGACCATAGTCATTCAGCCTGACTCAACATGCTAAAAAAATAGTTGTCTGAGTTTATATTAATAAATATACAAAACAAAGAACAGGTATCTAAACAGGGTCACTCTCTTCTCGCCTAGGGCCCATCAAGGCATTTTTTTTAAGACATACAATACAACATTAGGCCACAGTAAGAGGGGAATTTGACAATTGGGTTAGAAATAAAGGTTACGTTATTAACTAATGCATAATTATTTACATGGTTATTTTACTATCCTTTAAAAACATAACTAAGGAATCATACACTGCTCTCGAGTCTAGTGATAATAAGTACTGAAGGTTCCAAGGGGCTAATATATTGTATTTATGTAAGTTATTTATTAATCTGGCTGAAATTATAGTATTTCTGGGGCAACTGAAAAATATATGAGCTAGGTTTTCTTCTGTACAAAATTCACATCGATCATTATCTAAAACCTTGAGTTTAAATAAATGTTTGGGGTAACAAGCATGTCCAAATCTCAGTCTAATGATCGTGGTAACATATTTTCTAGGTACATTAAAAGAC